CACATTTTACACTGTAACCCAGGACAGCAATTTATTGAAGTATAATAGTTTTTAATGCAATTTGAACTTGAGGCTTCTAGGGTTTCACAACAGTAAAATTCTGTGAAGCAAGGGCTCAAGAATTACACTGGTTTCATGTGTATTCATGGGGCATTTTTTTGTTTGGCATGTTTATACACTCTTTTGGGAGCTGCTTTTTTTCTTTAGCTTGTTTATATTTTGAGAGCTTATGTCTGTCTTGCTTCCACATACTGTTAAAAATTACTTATATTGTACATTTTATACCATAGGTGGATTTTAACCAGGAATTACAAAGCCCTCAGTAAAGGTTCAAAAGGCAGTACCTCAGGCTTTTTGAACATCATGATGGAACTCAAGAAGTGTTGTAACCATTGCTACCTCATTAAACCACCAGATGATAATGAATTCTATAATAAACAGGAGGCCTTACAGGTAATGTCACTTTCTAATTTAAAAAAAAAAATAATGAAAAAAGTTCCTTTTACAGCTAGTAATATTCACACAATTTTATAGTGCTCTGGAAGTTTATTAATTCTTATTGAAATATATTAAGAAAAACAGGTTCTTTGGAAACTGTGCATCCTGGATTTTACAGGTAAGTGAATTAATTTTTCTTTCCTGAATAATTGAATAGGCTGTGTATTTTCATGCAAAATAAACTTGGGACCTATTTTATTTTTTTAAATGTAAAATAAAGTAGCTAAGTACCAGGTAAAAGTAGTGTAATTGGAAATGCATCTGTCTGGCAGTGATACACCAGCAATCTATGTGATAGCAGAAAGTGATCTGCAGAATGCTTTTAAGCTTTTTTTATAATCAAATGTGTGCCTGCAGACAACCGAAGTGAAAGGAAATGTGAGAGTAACAAGCATCCAAAGCTCAGTCTGATTTTGTTATTGTAGTTGTAATGGATGAAAAAAAATACCACTACCAAAGGTGGTCTGTAGTTCTTCGTTTTCTGGTTTGGTTTGGTTTGGGTTTTTTAAGGTTAATTAGTATTTGTACCAAAACTTTTGAGAAGCTCAGCAACAGATAAGAAGGCTGTTGTGGTTGATGCAGTTTATACCAGCATAAATATTTTCAAAGATGATTTTTTTTCTGTAAGCTTTCAAGTTGATAATTCAAATACCTTACCAAAGCTACTAGTTTATGCAGTGACAAATATGCTTCTCCTTTCTGGCATAAAAAGTAAAAGCACCTAACTCAAAATCTAGCGTTCCCCAAAATTGTCCCAGGTGTCTTCATATAAAGAGGCCTAAAGTTTTCAACATTAAATGTCACCTTTTCTTGAGTTTCTGTTTTAGTTATTCCCAATGGAGCTGAGAAGGCGAAACCGGCTTTAGGTGGGTTACAATATTAGACCCCACAAACAAGATTTCTCTCACTTGATCTTGCCTGAGAAACTTGATTGTTAGGCTTTGTTTAAAAATACTTAGAGGGTTAAGCAGCAGAACCCATTTCTTGTCAAGAGATGGGAAGTGAAGAGAGAGTAGTACTAAGATAGTTTTTTCTCAATCTTACATTTTACTGCTTACCGAATTTCATTTTTTACTTGGGAGGAAAGAGGTTGTGCCTACATCATAACCACTTAAATTTTTAAACGCATGCATTTACTTAATGTTTTGATGAGATATTAAGATGTGACTTTAAGAGAGGGAACTGAACCATGCATTTCCTTTAAAAATAGTGAATTAGTAATCCTGTTGATTTCAGTTAGAATCAACTAAACTAAACTGAGAGTAAACTCCTGTGTTCAGTTAATGCTGCATACTTGTAAATTTATATAGCAGTGTTGTCTTACGGTCACATGAATTTGGTGGGGTTTTTCTTATATCTCTAGGAGACTATATATTGTTTGCACATTTTAAACTGTAAAATTCTTAAAGCATGTAAGAATTTGATGCTTTTTTTTTCCCCCACAGCAATAGAAAGAAGAGCAAATCTCAAATGAATGTTTGGCCAACTGCAATGTGTGTGTTAGTATTGAGATGAACTTACTTTGTAATAGGTATTTCTTGGTTTTTGTAGCATTTAATACGTAGCAGTGGAAAACTAATCCTTCTTGACAAGCTACTGATCCGTCTGCGAGAACGTGGCAACAGAGTTCTGATTTTCTCACAGATGGTGAGGATGCTGGACATCCTGGCAGAATATCTGAAGTATCGTCAGTTTCCCTTTCAGGTAAGAATCTTGGTGGTAGTAGCCATGAAGTTTTGATTTTGAATATGAGAAAAATCTTTTCTTTACTCCGAGGGTGACAGAGCACTGGAACAAGTTGTCCAGAGGTTATGACATCTCAATCTCCTGTGACGTACAAAAGCCACCTGGACATGACCTTGGGCAACCTGCTTTAGCTTTCCCTGCCTGAGTAGAGGAGTTTGACAAGATGACCTCCAGAGGTCCCTTCCAACCTCTACTGTTTTGTGCTTGTGTGATCTTTACCACTTTGCTTAAGAAAAGATTTAAGAAAATGGGTTCTTTTTCTAGAAAGACTGACAATTGCTATATGCTAAATAGTACCTCGAAATGAAACAGATTAATTAAAAAAACATATGGTGTTGCATTACTTTTTTTTCCTTCACATAACAAGTTTTGCCAGTTGAGAGTTCTTATTTTGAATATAGTATAAGAATTACTTTTTAACTGTAGTATTCAATCTGTTTAGAGACTGGATGGATCAATAAAAGGGGAATTAAGGAAACAAGCACTGGATCATTTTAATGCAGAAGGATCAGAGGTATGGTATTTTTTTCTGAAGGAATCTGTTTTGTTTTCCCAAGAAATAAAAAAAAAATGCACAAAAAATGAAGGCTGAGAAAAGTGAGGAATATATCAATAAGCTTGAAAATTCATTGTTACTGCCTAGACTATAAGATTAGAATCTGCTATTTTTTTTCTCTAAGAAGAGATCAAGTGAAAACTCAGGACTTATGAAAATGATATTTAATCAATTGTGTGGCTGTAATTATTTTCTAAAAGCTCTATATTGAAAGTCATTTTAATTACTGTATAAATGCTGCAGAAATTTAACCTCAGCTTTGTTGCTGTGTAGAACTTAACCCAACAATGTTTACAAGAGCATTGAACTTACACAAGCAGTTAGCATCGAAAACATCCTTTGGCAGTGAGCAGAACTAACTTCTGTATATTCTTGCATTAACAACAATCTTTAGTTGTTTCAAATTTGGCTTCTATTGTCTTCCTTTGTTGCCACCTGCTTACTTACCCTGGAAGAAATAGTGAAGAACTGATTTCTAGCCATTCTTTGTGAGCAACCTGTGAATATATGTGTGTCTGTTACAGATTCTTTTCTTTTCTCAGTTGGAAGATTGTAGCTTATTTAGCATTCCTAATATGCAAGCCATTGCATACCTTTGGTCAGCTTAAGTCTTTTGTCCTGTACTAGCAGATTTGGAGGAGGGGAAGTTGTTTTGGTGGTTTTTCATTTTTCTTTACTAAAAATTCAGAACATTCCGTATGGTTTTGGCCATTACTGAGCTAAGGGCTACATGGAAGTTTCTAACACAATTCTTGGGACTCATTCCTGATTGTAATGGTTCACTATTTCCTTAAATTGTACCGAAAATTTGGAATATTTTTTTAAAACCTGGTTTAACTTCATCTTGAATTTCATGTGTTGTTTCATTGCTTGTTTAAAGATCTTTCCGCAGTCCTTCATAGTTGTCTCTGAATTAATAGTTCTATGTCATCTACAGGCTTTTTCACCTCATTGCTTATCCCATTTTCGTGTTGTTCATGAATTTGAACAACAGCATTGAACCTGGTTGCTTCCTGTGTCTTAATCAGTTAGCTGTAGGCTTAAGCATCTTCCCTGCTCTAGCATGGCAAGTCTTACAGGGCTTGGGCCAGGGGGCATGGGAGAGAGACTTTGCGACATACAAGGCTTTGAAGTAGGGTTTTTATACTTTTTTGGCCGATCTTTTGTTTGGTTGGGATTTTTTGGTCGGTGATAATAATCTAGGATGCTGTCGTGGTTTAGGCCCAGCCAGGATCAGAGCACCAGACGGCTGCACGCTCCCCCCTTATATACTGAGCATGACATCAGCATGGTATCGAATTCCCTTGGCTAGCTTGGTTTGGCTATCCCAGCTGTGCCCCCTCCCAGCTTCTGGTGAAAATTAACTCTATCCTAGACAAACCCAGGACATTATCCCCCCCTTATTCTATACCATATATGTCATGCACAGATCCTATACTTTGGCATTCCATCTGTTGGAGGTGGTGTTGGGTTGCTGCATGCTGAATGCAGAGCCTGTGGCTGGTCTGTTTCACATGGGCCATGCTCACAGTCTGCAGGTTGAGGGTGTTGATCTTGAGGAAGTTGCTGAAGCCGGTTCAAGTTCCATCACTGCTGACTCTCAATTTCATCAAAGTCCATCCTTCATTGATTCGAGTGATTCTCACTGTAACACCATTGTTATGACATACAGCAGCTGTAGTAGTGGCAACATACAATGGCAGGGTTATTTAGCGATTAACATCACACAGTTTAATTCATTGGCTATTCTCACCCAAAATTAAATCCCCTTGGGGTATGCATTGAACTTGCCCATCTTCCTGCATCTCCCACCAAGTGCACCCAGGTCTTTGAGCAAAAGCAATCCCACGGATGGGTTTGTCTTTGCCTGCCGCAGGACTAACCCAAACTCTCTTTCCTAACATATTCTTCATGTGCACTACAGGGACTTTCCCCCTCTACAGTATGTAGGAGGTTTGATTGGGCAGGGCCAGCTCAGTTGGTAGATCCTCCAGTATGTACTGACCAGGTGGCTTCTGCTAAATATGTATCCCAGTGTTTGAAGGCCCCACCCCCCATTGTTCTCAGTGTGTTTTTTAGCAGACCATTGTACCGTTCTATTGAGGTACAAATAGAGGATGCGATATACCCACTCAATTCCATGCTTTTTGGCCCAAGTGTCTATGAGATTCTTTTGGATATGAGTCTCATTGTCTGACTCAATCCTTTCTGGGGCGCTGTGTCGCCATAAGACTTGCTTTTCAAGGCCCAGGATAGTGTTCCAGGCAGTGGCATGGGGCGTGGCATATGTTTCCAGCCATCCGGTGGTTGCTTCCACCACTGTATGCATATGGCACTTGCCTTGGCTAGTTTTTGAGAGTGTGTTACAGTCAGTCTACCAGGCCTCCCCATATTTATATTTCGGCCATCACCCTCCATACCACAAGGGCTTCAAATGCTTGGATTGTTGATCCCAGCACATGTTTCACACTCATGGATAACCTGTGCAATAGTGTCCCTGGTCAAGTCCACCCCTCGGTCACGAGCCCATCTGTATGTTGCATCCCTTCCTTGATGGCCTGAGCTGTCATGGGCCCACTGAGCTATAAATAATTCACCCTTATGTTGCTAGTCCAAATCCACCTGAGCCACTTCAATCTTAGCAGCCTGATCTACTTGCTGCTTGTTTTGATATTCTTCAGTGGCCCTACTCTTGAGTACATGGGTATTCACATGATGTACCTTCACAACCAAGTTCTCTACCCAAGCAGCAATATCTTGCCATAATTCAACAGCCCAGATTGGTTTACCTTTGTGTTGCCAATTGCTCTGCTTCCACTGCTGTAACCACCTCAACAGAGCATTTGCCACCATCAATGAGTCAGTATAGAGATAAAGCACTGGCCACCTTTCTCGCTCAGCAATATCTAAAGCCAGTTGGGTGGCTTTCACCTCTGCAAACTGACTCGATTCACCTTGTCCTTCAGCAGCTTCAGTGACTCATCATGTGGGACTCCACACAGCAGCCTTCCACCTCTGATGTTTTCCAACAATGTGACAAGACCCATTGGTAAACAGGGCATATCGCTTCTCATTATCTGGTAGTTTATTATATGGTGGGGCCTCTTCAGCCTCCTCCTCCTCCAACATTCCAAAATCTTTGCCTTCTGGCCAGTTTGTGATCGTTTCCAAAATTCCTGGGTGGCTCGGGCTCCCTATTCGAGCCCATTTTGTTATCACTGCGACCCACATATCCATGCAACATCAGCTGAATGGTGTGTTGGGGAGACTCTCCCTTTGAACATCCATCCCAGCACTGGCAGTCGGGGTGCTAAGACAAGCTGTGCTTCAGTTCCAGCCACTTCCAAGGCAGCTCGAACTCCTTCATATGCTGCCAAGATCTCTTTTTCAGTTGGAGTATAGTGGGCCTCAGATCCTCTATATCCCCAACCCCAAAACCCTCGGCATCAACCATGGGTCTCCCTGGATGCTTTCTGCCAAACACTCCAGGTAGGGCCATTCTCCCCAGCTGCGGTGTAGAGCACATTTCTAACACCTTGTCCTGTCCAGACTGGCCCAAGGGCTACTGCATGAACAGTCTCCCGTTTAATTTGTTCAAAGGCTTGTCGTTGTTCAGGGCCCCATCCAAAATCATTCTTTGGTGTCACTTCATAGAGAGGGTTTAAAATCAGACTATAATCTGGGATATGCATATTCCAGAAACCCACAACACCTAAGAAGGCTTGTGTTTCCTTTTTACTAGTGGTGGAGACATGGCTGCTATTTTCTTGATCACATCCATTGGAATCTGGCAACACCCGTCTCGCCGTTTTATTTCTTAAAACTGGATGTCCTGTGCAGGTCCCTTAACCTTATTTTGTTTTATGGCAAAACCCGCCTTCAGAAGACCTTGAACTATTTTCCTCCCTTTCTCAAAAACATTTTCTGCTGTGTTGCCCCATACGATAACGTCATCAATGTATTGCAGGTGTTCTGATGCTTCACTCTGTTCCAGTGTAGTCTGAATCAGTCCATGGCAAATGGTGGAACTGTGTTTCCACCCCTGGGGCAGTCGATTCCAGGTGTACTGGATGTCCCTCCAAGGGAAAGCAAACTGTGGCCTGCATTCTGCTGCCAAAGGGATTGAGAAAAATGCACTAGCGATGTCAGTTGTGGCGTACCACTTGGCTGCCTTTGACTTCAGTTCGTATTGAAGTTCTAGCGTGTCTGGCACGGTAGCATTCAGCAGCGGCGTGACTTCATTCAGGATACGGTAGGCTACTGTTAGTCTCCACTCTCCGTTAGATTTTCATGCTGGCCACATGGGGCTGTTAGAGGGTGAGTGAGTTTTGCTCATCACCCCTTGACTCTCCAGTTGACGAGTCAGCTTATGGATGGGAATCAGAGAGTCTCAGTTGGTGCGATATTGCTGCTGATGTACTGTTGTGGTAGTAATTAGCACACATTGTTCTTCAACCTTCAGCAGCCCCACCACAGAAGGGTCCTCCAAGAGACCAGGCACGGTGGACAACTGTTCAACTTCCTCTGTCTCCAAGGCAGCTATACCAAAGGCCCACTGGTACTCTCTAGGGTCCTTGAAATACCCTCGGCTTCCAGTACAGTTAGCTGTTGGGATCCCCCTGTCACTCCAGAAATACAGATGGGTTCTACCCCTCTGTAGCTTGATGGCATTAGGGTACATTTTGCACCAGAGTCTACTAGAGCCTTATACTCCTGTGGGTCTGACGTGCCAGGCCATTGGACCTACACAGTCCGATAAACACAGTTGTCCCTTTCCTCCAGCTGGCTGGAGGCAGGGCCCCTCTAATCCTGATCAGAATCACTCACTTCTTGTAAAAATGACTTACAAGTCCCTTCAAGATCAGCCCTTCTACCCTGTCTGGGGAATTTACCACTGGAAACTGGAGCGGCATCTTTCCAGGAAGAATCCTCTTTTGTGGTGGTTTTCCCCCACAACTCACTTACCTGTGCAGCTAGGACTGAAGTGGATTTTGTATCCCACTTCCTCGTGTCCTCTCCATGGTCACACAGGTAAAACCATAGGGTAGCCCACAGTGTGTACCTTCTGTATTCTCTTTTGAGCAGAGGAGTGCCTATTTCTAATAGCTGAGATATGGGCCCGTACAGCTGGGGGGTAGGACATATCCTTTTTGAATTGCTGGAACTCCCAGGACAGTTCTTCCATGGCAGAGACTGTAGGGAAGAAGAGAGTCTTCCTTCATGTTGCTGGAGTTGGCTAGCCAATTCATCCAGCGTTTGTCCGTCACCTTCTTTCCAGGACATTGCTGCCAGTGAGTTGGCATACGATGGCGCTGCACATCGTAGAAACTTGCACCACGTGGGCTGTGTGCATCGGACTTCATCTGGATCTAGAGGTGACTGCCCGTTATCCAGATCATTATAAATCACCTCCAGCACAGCTAATTCCCTCGGGAACTGAATACCTCTCTCCATGGTGGTCCACTTGCCTGGGTGACATGTAACATCTTCTTTCCCTCATGCCTCACAGGAGTTGCCTGTGAGGGCTTTTGTTCGCTTTCCAATTGCCTTGTCAATACCCGCTTTCCTAGACAGGGAGCCCAGCTGCTTGACTTCCCTACCCTCCAATTCCAAGCTACTGGCCCTGTTATCCCAGTGCTCACCTGGATGGTGGCCAAAATCCTTTTGCTTATATCACAGCTCACTCAAGGATAGGGATTGGGTGATTATCTCTGGTTCTGCCTCTTCCTTCTGTTCTCGCGATGGCCCTGGTTCTAACTTTCATCCCTCACTAAGTGAACCGATTTCTTTGTGTACTTCCTCCATATAGGGGCAAGTGATACCGGCACAGGTTGGTTCTCTGAGTCAGCTGTAGCACCTGTTGGTCTGTTTTCAGGTCCAGAGACCTTCTCTTCCCCTTGAGGGCACTGAATAGTGTTGATAAGGGCTTGGGAGGCATGAGCCACGCCCCAGCGTGTTGCAATGATTTGTGACTCTGGAATTGCCAGGGTGACAGCACACCTTTTCCAAATGTTTTACTAGTTTTTCAGGATTCTGCATTTGTTCAGGGGTGAAATTCCAAAACACTGGGGGTGACCACTGTCCTAGGCACTTGCCCATACTTTCCCACACACCCTGCCACTCATAATTATCCAGCCTCAGGGCAGATCTCTGGGTAGTATTCTGAGAAATATTTTGTTTAACCGTGAACAGTGCCTGGGACACATTCAGGAGACACGGCAATAAGAACATGCTGACTTGGACGTCCCAGGGATATTCAGAATTCTCAAAAGCTGCTGTAATTAGTGTGAAGGAGAAAGGAGACGTGGAAGAGTGGGAGATGGTATCCCCCTTTGTCTCTCCGGTGGACTGGGTGCAATTAGTAACAAATTCCAAGAGAAGGCGCCCGAGGAATGGGCATGACAGCAATGCCGTATACAAATACCAGCTTAACCTCATGACTAGTGATGCAGTCATGTCATAAGTTGACATTAGCCAGTGCAGCAAGATGATAGTCCTGATCCCTCTCCCAGACATCACAAACGTCACTGCAGGGATCACATAGTGCATGTACAAATTTACATAACACTACCATGTGAACAAACGAACCAGCTTGGTGACCAGTGGTTGTTTAACTAATGTAAGAAATGTATGTAACAAAACCTTTAACACGCTCTGGCCAGATCTGCCGTTATCTCAACCCCTCGGGCCCCACGTTGGGCATCAAAAGGACTTGTGGTTTAGGCCCAGCTGAGAACAGGGCACCATGCGGCTGCTTACTCACCCCTCCCCCTGCGGCAGGGTGGGGAGGAGAATTGGGAGAAAAAGGTAATGCCCTATAGGTTGAGATAAGAACAGTTTAATGGAAGAACAACAGGAGAAAAGAAAAAATGGTAACAACAATACTAATTAAATAATATATACAACAAGTAATGTACAAGGCAAAGGCTCACCACCTGGACCGCCTGCCTTTCCGCCTTCCCAGCTCTCCCCACCCCGCCTTATATACTGGGCATTGATGTCAGCATGGTATTGAATACCTCTGGACTACTTTGGTTTGGCTGTCAGGGCTGTACTCCCTCCCAGCTTCTTGTGAAAAATAACCCTATCCTAGTCAATGCCAGGACAGATGCTGCTTCCTTTAAACTGTTGAGAAGTCAGTAACTATTTGTGAAAGACACTGGTATCAATGTTTGCTTTATACATAAAGAAGCTTTAACTATAGAACAGTTATGGAATTGGTAGTATTTTGATTTTGTAGCCTGCGCCACAGATGCATAAACAAGTTTCTTTAAGAACATTACAGTTATTGTATATAAAACTATTTCTTATTTTATGATTTCAGGACTTCTGCTTTTTACTGTCTACCAGAGCTGGTGGGTTAGGTATCAACTTGGCATCTGCTGACACTGTAGTTATATTTGATTCTGACTGGAATCCACAGAACGATCTACAAGCACAGGCTAGAGCGCATAGGATTGGACAGAAGAAACAGGTACTCACATTCAGCTTTAAAGCTCCAAACCTGAAGGAGGGTTCCATACAGTACCTATCTGCTCTCTGTCTGCACCATTCAGTTTTCATGTATTTTTGAGAATAACTAATGCTTGCTGTATATGTCCAAAAATGTTACTAATGATCGTTTAAGTTTCTTTTTTTTTTTAAATCTCCCTATATGGAGACATAATATGGCAGCTGTGGTATATGGATGGGAGAGGGAGAAGAGTTGTGGACCTGTCTCTTCCACATTCATTGGCATCAGTGATTCTAGAAAATAACTGGTACACTGGGCACATCCACCTTGCTTAAATATTTCTTAGTTCTCTTCAGGTTTATTACTTGCAGAAGACTTACTGTAATAATTGGAAATACGACAGTTTTGCCTGTGGCAATGCTTATGCCAAATCACTGAAGTTTAAAAAAAGACAGGTCCAAGAATTTATTTCTCTGTTCTTTTAAAATGCTTGTGTAAAGACTGTGGTAATGTGATTGAGCTAGTATTTCGTATTTGAAACCAGTCAATAAATTCAGAAGATCTGTAGTGAAGACTGAAATTTCTCCTTGTTGTTGTTTACTTTTTTAAAAATATACATAGGTTAATATTTATCGGCTAGTCACAAAAGGATCAGTAGAAGAAGATATTCTTGAAAGAGCCAAGAAAAAGATGGTGTTAGATCATTTAGTAATTCAGAGAATGGACACTACAGGGAAAACCGTGCTGCATACAGGCTCTACTCCTTCAAGGTATATTTTATTTATTTCCATTCTAATGTAACCTTAAGTATATTTGACAAGTAAGTAAAAGTGTAAGTTATTTTACTTGGTTCATGAAAGGCAAAGTAAGGTTAAATAAGTAAAGACGCAAAGTATATTGTCTTTGTAGATTTTTATTTGCATATTATAGAACCATAGAACCATTAAGTTGGGAAAAGACCTCAAAGATCAAGTCCAACCATCAACCCAATACCACCATGCCCACTAAACCATGCCCCGAAGTGCCACAACTGTACGTTTTTTGAACACCTTCAGGGATGGTGACTCCGCCATCTCCATGGGCAGCCTGTGCCAATGTTTGACTACTCTTTCAGTAAAGAAATTTTTCCTAATGTCCGATCTTTCCTAATGTGTTTCCCTAATGCCACTTGAGGCCATTTCCTGTCATCGTATCGCTAGTTACTTCGGAGAAGAGACCAACACTTGCCTCACTACAACCTCCTTTCATGTAGAGGTAGAGGGCAATAAGGTTTCCCGTCAGCCTCCTCTTCTTCAGACTAAATAACCTCAGTTCCGTCAGCTGCTCCTCATAAGACTTGTTCTCCAGACTCTTCACCAGTTTCATTGCCCTTCTCTAGACACACTTCAGCAACTCAGTGTCCATCCTGTGGACACCCCCTCACTAGGGCCCCAAAACTGCACACAGTATTCAAGGTGCGGCCTCACCAGTGCAGAGTACAGGGGCACGATCACTTCCCTACTCCTGCTGCCCACACTATTTCTGGTACAGGCCAGGATGCTGTTGGCCTTCTTGGCCACCTGAGCACACTGCTGGCTCATGTTCAGCTGGCTGTCAGCCAGCACCCTCAGATCCTTTTCTACTCTGCAGCTTTCCAGCCACTCATCCCCAAGCCTGCAGTGTTGCATGGGGTTGTTGTGACCCAAGTGCAGGACCTGGCACTTGGCCTTGTTAAACCTCATGCAACCTATATGTACATAAAGCTTGACTCATGATCATAGAGAACTTTTTCAGGTTACTAAGATAAAATATTTTTCCTGAAACGTCCCTTATTTCAGCTCAACACCTTTTAATAAGGAGGAGTTATCAGCGATTTTGAAGTTTGGTGCTGAGGAACTTTTTAAAGAGCCTGAAGGGGAAGAACAGGAGCCCCAGGTAAGCAGTGTTTCTGAACTAGGTAGATAAAAGAACCGAAAATATGTATGAATAATTTCATTGCAAAGTGAAACTTCTTCTTCTTTAGGAAATGGATATAGATGAAATCTTGAAGAGGGCTGAAACTCGAGAAAATGAGCCAGGTCCCTTAACTGTAGGAGATGAGTTGCTTTCGCAGTTCAAGGTATTGCTCTGTTCCCTCTCTCCTGCCATAATTAACACTTTCCTTCATAAATGGTACTATTTTTCTTTCATATACCTGTCTGTCTCTGTTTTTATGAAGCAGACGCCTCAGTAAGTCAACTCCATCTCTTTCTAATAAAATGTGTTTTCATCTATACAGGGTACCTACCAGTAGAAACATTTAAAAATCATGATGTATTTTGCTAATAAAATAAGAGATATTTATGAATGTGTTAATAGTTAGAATTCTAGGTAGCTTTATGTTTTATTTACTGCCTTTATTGTTAAGCAGCTGTGGTATCGTTGAATGCAAAATATGAAGATTGTATTTCTTATTCAGTGACTTCTAGAAGTATCTTTTAGCCCTGAAGTAAACTTGAATGCCAGGATTTTTAAGTGTAATCAGCTAAACATACTATAATCTGGGTTAAAAAAAAAAAAAAGTGCAGAACATGATGTATATTTGTTTAGATCAGCAGATTATTAAATAGCTCTGCTGCTGATCATTCATTTGCAACATACTTTGATTTCTACAGTGTATTAATGTTTGGTTTTATATGATTGTAGTTTCACATTAACTCAGGCATTCAAATGTTAGCCCTGTTTTGAATGAAGTTAAACAACAATCATACAGCTATTGGGGAAGTGGTTCATTATGCATCTGTATTAGTCAAATTTTAAAAGAAGAAAGAGGTTCTCAACTGTTCTCATCTTAGCCAATGTTGCATGGAGTCTGTGTCTGTTTCATAAATGAATTAAAAAAAATACTTTCATTAGAGACAGTGTTTCATGAAGCATTTTGTAGGTATAAATATCTATGTTATAAAACAATAGCATATATAAATGCATAAAATCTATAAATGCATAAAATATGCCATCTAGAACTTTGTTTTCCTGAAGTATTAGTTGCACAGTCTTTTTAAGATAGTCATGTATTGATTTGGTGAAAATATGTATATTCTTTTATACAAGGTGGCCAACTTTTCCAATATGGATGAAGATGATATTGAGTTGGAACCAGAAAAAAATTCAAGAAATTGGGAAGAAATCATTCCGGAAGTCCAGCGTCGAAGAATAGAAGAAGAGGAAAGACAGAAAGAACTTGAAGAAATATACATGCTCCCAAGGATGAGAAACTGTGCAAAACAGGTGTCTCTTGGTTCTGACTGACTTGTACTTTTATGTTGCTGTTGGTTTAGTTTGGGTTTTGGTTTGGTTTTGTTTTTTTCCTTTTCTGAACACATTTTTGATAGGCAGGTAAAACTTTACTTATGCTTGTTGATCACGTACATTTGAACTTACTCTGAAATTGCAGATCAGCTTTAATGGAAGTGAAGGGAGGCGCAGTAGGAGCAGAAGATACTCTGGGTCTGATAGTGACTCCATCTCAGAAAGAAAACGGCCAAAAAAACGTGGAAGACCACGAACTATTCCTCGAGAAAATATTAAAGGATTTAGTGATGCAGAGATCAGGCGGTAAGATATGGGGGGACATGCATATTTAAAGGGACAAGACAGGGGTTATTATTATTATTATTATTATTATTATTATTATTAAGCTTGAAAGTACAGAAGGCAGTCTATTTTTCCTGAATTTCTTTGAAATTTTTTTTTATTCTAGGCATTTAATGTTTTACCTTGTATACTTTGTGCTGACATAGTGAACTGTCATGGCAAGAATTTGAACCCATTTTTATGAGGGATAAAATTAGTTTTGAAAAATATTTTTTTATTGTTTTAAATTTGTTAATTCCTGCAATCCATGAAGACACTGATTGCAAAGAAACAATTCTTACAATGGGTGGGCTTTTCTTTTAACATTTTACAAGCAAAATAATTTGCTTCCCATCGTTCTATCTAAAATCCCAGTTCTGAAAGAATATATAAATCTTTTTGGTGACAATTAGAAAAATTTGAGTGGATTTTGTTTTCTTTTTAAACTTCTTGACACTGTAATTGAATTAATGTTATATCATGCTTTTTTTAAAACTAAAAAATATAAAATCCTATTTGAATTTTATACAGCAGGTGCCTTCAATATTTGGTGCTAAATAATTTTTTTAGGTAAAAGGAGGTGGAATTGGTTTGGTTTACCTTTTTGGGTTTGTAAAATGCTACTTTGCTTCTGAAATTTAAGTATGCTTATTTCTCTGAAATGCTGTAAAGCTTTTGAAATATTTTTGGTTAGAAATAACTTTAAAGCTCCTTTTTTGTCTTTCAATTTCATCTAACAACACGGCAAGTTGGTACTTTTTTGAAGGCTATTCTTGTGCTTGCACTAGCAATTTCAGGCCTTGATTGTTGAGGACTTTTTCTTTGAGTTTTTAAATTCTTTTTATTTATTATATTTTTATTTAATTTCCTTTCTATCCTGGGCATCTCCAGTTTCTTTCCATCACTTACACATTGCTACAGATAGTATCTTTCATGTCGTATTTTCCAAAATCTTCAAATCGCTTGTTGGAGATTGTTTCTTTTACTATATGAGGCATAACGTGTCTGAAATCTCTATTTACTGTAAATCTACATTAAATTTTTATGGTTAGACACATCCAGCTTCTGAATCTTCTGTCTTGTGAAATTAATAAAGAAATTTCAGAGTTAAATTGTACCTTCTATTGTTTTATTTACATCAGTTCTTAAACCAAGAAATCTCTGACTTTGGCTTATACTCGATATACTAAGCTGCCCTACTCTCTCTGCTTTTTTTTTCCATTGTCCTCATAGCATTATACTAAGATTAATAATTCTATTAATGCAATTTTAAAACCAATGTAGTTAGCTAAGCATACTTTTAAATTGCAAAATTATTTTCTGTTACTAGGTTTATCAAGAGTTACAAGAAATTTGGTGGCCCTCTTGAAAGGTAAACTTGTTTGATGATTATTTGTGTAGCAACTTGAAGCCTTGTTTTCATAAAAATTAGAACAATACACCAAGAAACCTTAGGCTGAAGAGAACATACAGCGGTTAGATCCACTGTGACTGTCAAAGTTAGTTTTGCATATTCCTTACTGTCAGTTCTTATTTTTAAGCTTTATCATTCCATACTTTAAGAAAAAACTTCCCATCCTTACTTTCCTTAAAAATATTTGTAATCCAGGTGAACGTATTATATATAATGATTCCTTTTCTTTTTTTAGAGAAACGTACAGTAATTTAATGCAACACTGTAGCGTTAGATCCTTTACAGTTCTTGTTGTAGTGTTCTCTGATACCTGAATCAGTTCTTTTTTTTTTTCCTTGGATCAAAATTGTACACAGCATAGCAAATGCAGGTGACTGATAACTTAGGTGATCATTTCTCTGGTTTCAGAGTCTGAAGGAGTCATTCACAATTACTAAAGTTTCAGAGATATAAAAATGTTTGTTTTGTTGCAGGTTGGATGCTGTAGCTAGAGATGCTGAGCTAGTTGATAAATCAGAGACAGATCTTAGACGTTTGGGAGAACTTGTACATAATGGATGCATTAAAGCTTTAAAGGACAATTCATCTGGACAAGAAAGAGCAGGTACAGTGGGTTCAGAGGGCTTGGGGGGCAATCAAAAATGTCAAGTCTGAATTATTCTTGTACTCTTATCAGAAAACAGTTTTGTTGGGAGAAAATGTAGATAAAAATACCAGCATGCTCAGTGATTTTTAAAAGAGGATTCTAGTAAGATGACTTTTTCTTTTTCCCTTTCTATGTGTAAATTGTGATTGGAGAATGCTGTTTGGTTTTGCTTTACTGTGAAATTACTGAAATTTACTGTGAAAGTAATCTGTTACTATCTGGAAGACCTTTTGATTCTGGAGTGCTTAATTCAAACGTTTAGTTAAGAAGAGATCATTTGGTATAATTGAAAGTTTGCTGCTCTGGCATCAGTCTTACTTCTTTTCTTTATGTTTTTCTATGTGATATTCATAAAGGTAAACATTTTAATAGCTTTGTCATTCGTTTTAAGGAGGTAGACTTGGGAAAGTTAAAGGCCCAACATTCCGAATCTCAGGAGTGCAGGTGAATGCAAAGCTAGTCATCTCCCATGAAGAAGAGTTGGCACCATTGCACAAATCTATTCCTTCAGATCCAGAAGAGAGAAAAAGGTACTGCTTTTTTTTTTTTTTAAGAGGAAATAGTAATGTAGAAAACTTTTAAAGTTTTATTAGAAATTTTCAGACAACTTTGTCAAAGCACACTGTGAAAGCATTGTCCCTCTATTCCCTGTAAGGACTGGCAGCAGTAACGTGCTCCACATCTGTTCTTCATTCTTTCTTCCTGTGCTGTAGAAGCCAGTACCAGCTTTGGCTTCTCAATTGCATTCGCTGGGGACTGAGTTCAGTTACTAATAATCGGGACTAGAATTCAGGCTTGTTGAGGAGCTGCTGTATGTGTCATCTCTGCTTGAGGGGAAAGCAGTATCTGTCAAAGTGCAGTCGTCGTTCTTTCTGCCCTCTGAACTTTTTCCTTTGCCACATTGTGTGTCACAATCCCTGAACTATCTTAATCGTTACACTTGAATGATGATTGGTGCTTTTATTCATGGTTAGCCAACTCTGTGATGCAGCACATGGCCGCAGACAGATGTCTGTTCTTCTTATTTTAGTCTTGATCAGCTTTAAAACACATTTCAGTACTGATTTCAATAAGTATCTCATAGAAATGTTAAAATATAAATATTTGGATTAATTTCCTAAATATACCAGCATCTAAGCAGAGAAAATAAATCAGCTTCAGAAGTAAAAACCCCTTTTTTGTCTTTCTAATTTATTTCTGCTAGATATGTCATCCCGTGCCACACCAAGGCTGCTCATTTTGATATAGATTGGGGTAAGGAAGATGATTCCAATCTATTAATAGGCATATATGAATATGGTTATGGCAGCTGGGAAATGATAAAAATGGATCCTGATCTCAGTTTGACACAGAAGGTATGTCATGTACAACATTTCATCAAGGACTCTTTTTGTTTAGGTAGTAGTGCTACTAAGAACAGTTACTGAAAGAGCTTATTTTATGATAACTGGAATTGCGGAGACATATGTCTGTTGTACTTAGTATCCTTCTTGCGGTATATTGTTAGATTTTAAGGTCTTGTGTATTCAGTAGAAGTATGCCTTTTTGCAGTCCATTATGTTGCCATATTTCCATGTAGTTGGACCTCTGTCATTTGAATTTCTCTTTTCAGTCTTTTCCTTCTCTATTGTAAATGTTCTAGTTTTCTTGAACTTTTGGAAGGGAGGCTTTTCTAGAGATCTGATTTGGTTTCCCCATCCCCGCTTAATCCCCAGGTTCTTCACTTGAAGCTGTCTTTCACTCACGACATGAGAATAGCTGTACCAGAATTGGTGCAATAGCTCCTTAGCTAGCAAGTAACAGGTACTGAGGGGAAGACTGCGATAAAGTAAACTTTGTGACAGTACCAACAACCTATAGCTTTGGGATTTCAGGAGCCAGGGTTGTGTCCAAATTTGTTTAATAGTGATTGCTACTCCTGCCTTCTATTGATTGGCGTGTTTTGTGAAACTACCCATTTATATTTTTGGCATCTGCAATACACTGTAGTAAGTTCTGCATTTAGAAGATCAATGAGGCAGAGCCAGGAGTTCTGTGGATGACTAGTACAGGAGCTCAGAATTTCTTAGATAAACTGTCAGAGTGGAAACAGAAACCTGAGTCTGGTTTCTTGAGTTTGTTTTAAACTGTGAGGCAATTTCCAAGACTCTTCATGGACTGCAGGATAGGAGTGAAATGAAAACATTTCAGAAATTCTCCATTGCTTCAAGTGTGCTGGCGTATTTTCTAGGTATAGTTGAAGTGGATTGTTTTCCACCTTCTTTTATGCAGCTTTTTCTGTTCTATGTGTTCCAGGCTAGCATCTGCAATACTTGATAATATGTACTCATAGCTGTGATACTACCATTGCTCTCCTCAGATTTTACCTGATGATCCAGATAAGAAACCCCAGGCGAAGCAGCTACAGACCCGTGCAGACTACCTCATTAAATTACTGAATAAAGACCTTGCAAGAAAGGAAGCACAAAGGCTTGCTGGTGGAGTAAGTAAAATTTGGCATTCATTAGTGCAATAAAACAATACGCTTATGGGCATGTCTGCTGTTACTTTTCTTTTTTAGTTCTGCTCTTTCTCTTTGTGTAGTATTTGTCTGTATTGCTAATCATATAACATGAGACTAACTCAAGAAATTAATTGCAAGTTCCACATTGTATTACTCTCTGTATGTATTCTCTACTTTTGCACTACACTCTGTCTCCAGTCCTGAGAAAAGTTGTGGTCATTAGTGGCAATAAATAAATTAACCCTCTGTTGTAAAAACAAATCTTTGCACCACAGTTGGAAAAAAAATGCCTGTCAGTTGACATACTAAAGAGACCAATTTGCATTCAGGGCAATTCAAAGAGGAGGAAAACAAGAACTAAGAAGAATAAGGTGATAAAGGCTGTAAAAATAAAAGAAGAAGTAAAAAGTGATTCTTCACCACAGCCCTCGGAAAAATCTGATGAAGATGATGATGAGGATAACAAGGTAATACCTTTCATATGGTAAAGATGGCTATTCAGTTCCTCCTATTAGTATCAATTTCTGTTTTATCTTCTGCTTGCCTTAATAAAATTGAAGTATGTGAATATCATCTTTTTAATGTGACCATTACAGTTGATGTTGCATCAGTATAAGCACATGGAAGACGGTACTTCTTTTGATTTAATGACAGGCTGGTAACTGAGGAATTATGAGTAGTTTTCCAAATTATATTACAAAAAAGTGTTGTGGTCTAATTGTAAGTGGCATTGCTCAGTTCCAGCATTCTTTGAAGACTTCATCATCGTGTGTGCTAGAAATGCAAACCTAATGTAACATGTAATTATAAAACTAATGTTTCTGGCTAATGTGTTATAACTACTGATAGTGATTTTTCAGATAAAGTTTTTTATTCAGGCTCAGGAAAAAAATGTCAAACTATTAGAAAAAGCAACATGAACAAATGATATTTGAAGACTTGCATGTAACAGCTCCTGTATACATTAAGGCTTCATTATCCAAAAAGACTATCCGGCTATTTAGCCATGTTGTGATCTTCTACTTCTGATGTAGACCTCTACTTTTGTTTGGCTTTTTTATTTCTAACATGACATAGCAGAAACCTCTAGAGATAAAAATTTAGGTAAATTTTAGGGTCATATCACACCTAATTTTATGACTTTGAAAGTAGTTGGAATAAATCAGTGCAAATCTATATGTATTATTAAAATACTCCCTACTTGGTTTAAAATTGAAGTGTCTTGCATAACCATTTTAAACTATTACAAACCATTGTAATTGTCAGCTTACTCTAGAGGAAGAAACACTTATGCAAATACATAATTAAAATTGAATCAGCCTTAGGAGAACCATGATACATCTGTAACGAAATAGTCATTTTTAACTAAAGCATTCCTGTATGTATTTAAATTGGACAGTGAAGAGTAAAATGTAGAGTCTGAAAAAAAAATAATTTATTGTAGACTGGCTTATGTTTGTAGATAAAATAATTTGTCTGGAATGTTATGAACCATAAGTTTTGTCACAGTTCCCAGTAAATAAACATGGGCAACTGAATCCTAAAACTAAGCAAATTAAGTGTCCAGACTACTTAAAAAATGAGTGTTAGGCTTCATCTCCACTCAAAACTGAAGACACTGCCAGTCAGTTGATTGACTTGTTATGTTTTGGGAAAGTACCTAGAATGCTGTCCCCTTTTGTATATTTAATAACAGGTATTATTCATCACTTTTGGACACAGACTAACAATTGCACTTCTGAAAACTGGACTATATACAAGAATGGACTATAACCACTTAAGCCTTGACTTTAGCTCCTTAGTTGCCATACTGTGTGCAACATTTAAAACTTAACTGTTTTAACTGCTAGAACATTCAGGAAACTCTTGAAGTCATTGGATTTTTACTTGGAAGTTTCCATGATACCTAAATATTGAAGTCCTGGTTGAGCTGATTACTGGATACCTTGATACCTCATCTAAATAACTTGTTTGGATTCATGTGTTAGGCATTCCTTCATCTGTTTTTCTGCAATGGATTCTGTATATGCCTTTCCAGGAGGTATTAAAATAAATTCAAAGATGATAGTGACTCTTGCACCTGTACGTTTGACTTCTGTTACTTAGTACAATAAGTATTTTTCTGTGTCTGAAAGGATTTGAGTTTCCATCTCAAACCTTGTGAGTATTATGAAGACCAGTGGAGTGGTATTTTGTTCACCTTCAAATAATTAAATGGGCCTCTATCAGACAATCTGTAACTAAGACTTTTTTTTAAGCCTAATAAAAAGATCACCTCTGGAAAACAGAAAGTTGGGACTTTGTTACCTTCTCCTGTGAGTGTTTATGGGATTGGTAAAAAGTTACTGGGACAAAGCTAACTAGAACAGAGGTCTTCTAACATACCCATCACTTGAGACTTCTTGATTAATCAGCTCAGTTTTGTAAGACATAACTTCCTTACAGTTTTTAGCTCTTCAGAGCCTAACTGTGTTTTAGAGGGGCAGAATTCTAAGTTAATTCTAAGTTAAATAGACGTAATTTCTCATCCCACTACCACTGCCAAATCAGTACTTTGTCACATCAAGGGAGTGAGCAGTTCTCATCTTTCTTTACAACTGCATTCAGTTCTATTTGATAGGTGTTAAGAAGAAGACACACAGCTAACAAGTATGGTTTAATCTGATAGTTACAAAACTTGTATAGATAGAAACTCAGTTTGATGTGACATATATGCTTGCGTATTGCAGGATGAGATTGTTTCAGTGAAACATCCACATAAAAAAATTAAAGCAGAAAAAGAAAATGAAGAAAAGCCTGAGCCAGATATTGGTATAAAGAAGGAAGCTGAAGAAAAAAGAGAGACAAAAGAAAAGGAAAATAAGAGGGATTTGAAAAGGGAGAAAAAAGAAAAAGAGGATAAGAAAGAATTAAAAGAAAAAGATATTAAAGAAAAGAGAGAAAACAAAGTAAAAGAATCCACACAGAAAGAAAAAGAAGTAAAGGAAGAGAAGGTAACTAGGTTTACTTATCTTATATAGCACTAGAAAAGGCCACTAGGTTTACGTGAATGATTTTGTGATTAAAAGGTATTTTTGATCTGATCAGTTGTCGTTTCATTGAAGTCTTTTACATCATTTGAAGTTTCATTTTTACTACCTGAAACCATGAGGACAGACATTTGAAATGGGAAATTGCATCTTCAATGATATGAATCTTAGTCAGACTGACAGTACCAGTGTGTGCAAGAAATTCTTTCATTCCTTTTCCATTGTCCTTTTCCATCCCACAGAGAAATTAAAATGTACTGTGACTGAATGTCAGCATAGTTTTTATTATTATTATGGAAGGGAATGCAGTAGTTATGGGGATTGTCATATATTATAGGATAATTCCAGAGCTAAAATAAAGTTTACTTAAATATTTTTATATCTTATTCTTAGGTAAATGAAATCAAGTCTGAAAATAAAGAAAAAACTAAAAGAATTCCATTGTTGGATACTCCAGTTCATATTACTGCAACTAGTGAACCAGTTCCTATATCAGAAGAATCTGAAGAACTGGATCAGAAGACTTTCAGTGTGGTAAGTCCCTTTTTGATAAGGTAGTGTTTATACTTGATAGGCTAAATGAGGACAATGTCTGATGTTCTTGATTCTGTTATTTGGCACAGTGACATAGGTGATCTTTTGCTAGTAAAGTGTCAGACCAATGAATATTATTGACATTGTAGTAGTATTTTTTGTCTTAATCTAGCAGTTTTACTTTGTTGTTTACTGTAGTTATGCAGGATGGTGGGAAAACTTACCCAGTGGTCTACGTGCTGAATAGATTTAGAATATACACCGTAAAGATATATCCTCAAGAATAACTTGGGTATCCTGCTCCTTAAAGAGCAGACATGAATGAACTTCAATGCAATTGCTGGAGTCCCTGGCTTTGCCTTACCATATATGCCTTTCTTCTTTGTAAGATAACAAGTGAAATTAAGCTTCAGTACTTCCCTTCTGAAGTGCTAGAGACTTAAATTAGTAGACACAGGAAGGAACGAGTGCTAAAGCCCTTAGAAATACCTTGCTGGAGCAATGTCTCTGACACCAAAAGAATTCTGTTTAATCATTACTTCTGACTAAGAACAGAATCAATATTAGAGGAAAAAAGGTACGTACACATAACTTCTGTAGAGTTTTATAGGTTGTCTGGGGCCTTTGGAAAGGTATCAATGAGTTACTTTGAGACCTGCTCTCCTGTGGGTGTTCCGTCATTCAGATTTCAACAGTCGTTTGTTTCTGCCAGCCAGACATATTGGGGCTGCTGTGGGTGCTGGCTGTGACGCACAACTAAGATTCTCTGGGTATGGCAGTGACTGGTCTATGTATGGTTTTATTTCAAACATTCCAAGTAACTCACCTGCGATTTCCAGGATGAGCCTCAAGAGATTTGGGTGTATATGTTTGTGTGGGTGGCTAAGTGACAGAAAATCACTTAATTTCCATGTACAGTTACATTTTTCTATATTTTCTATATATTATTATGTATTTATGTAAGCTGTTAAAGGCTGTGGCTAGTGCAGTATGTAATGCAGCTGCTTAATTACTTAGTGGCATGAGCTAGCAATTGAACAGCTTCCCTGATTTTTCAGAGTTGTCCCTAGATGCTTACATGGTAATTTAATTCATCCCATTCCAAACATTTGTTTGTTTTTTAAAAAAAAATAATAATTTGGAGGGACCTACACACTTCCTTTGGTTCTTACTGGGAGTAATTCTGGGTTGGGCCTATGCATAGAAAACCATTTTTTTGTCCAGGCTTTTTGTTCCAGAATGTATGATTTATCACTGTGCCATGGTCAGATGCAGTCTAATTAGCACATTTAACCACACTTTCAAATGGAAATTACTACTCTGGGTTGTTCAGGCTTAACTAATTTAGCTCTCTGTGACAAGTAGAATATGCGTTTCATCTGTTTACCATGACATTGTAGTTGGATGATATTCCTAAGCAAGTGTCCTTTATTTAAATCATGCTAACTCATTTTATCTGGATTTATTATTAAAACATTTGATTCAAAGTGTGAAAATTCCAGAATGCACATGGGATATATGGCTGTGTTGCCATCACTGTTGTTACTATCTAGGCATATCCAAACTAGTTTTACTCTAGATAGCCCAAGTTCTGCTAGTGTCTGCATAGGACTGAGGTTTTAAAACTGCTCAGAGAAGCAGAGTTGGTCCTCTGCAGAATACCAGGTTTAGCTGTTGCAGAAAGTATTGGTTTGAAATGTACTAGACTCTCATATTTAATTTTGTCATTGAGTCTGTATAGCTTTCAAGGTCCTAAAAAGTCTAAGTCTAGTCCTATATGCTTGTACTGAAAGTTATGATTGTGAAACCAAGTTGTAATGAGTCCATTTCCTTAGAAAATTCCTTATAGTAAATTAATGCTTTCTTAAATCCTTGATATCTGTATTTTATACAATCTAATGCTTTCATAGAGGGGCAAATTTCCAACTGGGTTTAAAATACAACTCTTTCCAAAGGAAACGTGTGAAACGTTTTTAAGAGCTCTGAGCAAGTCTTGTTTCATTTAGCTTGTAACAGATACTGCTTTTGCCTGTGTATATGCATCACAGTAAACGGTGGGTCATGTTTCAGAATTATTTTTTTTTTCTGTGAATTAATACATTACTTTTTTCCATTTTACAGTGCAAAGAAAGAATGAGGCCTGTTAAAGCAGCATTGAAACAGCTTGATCGACCAGAGAAAGGCCTTTCTGAAAGAGAGCAGCTGGAACATACTAGGCAGTGTCTAATCAAAATTGGGGATCACATTACTGAATGTCTAAAGGAGTACACAAATCCTGAACAAATTAAACAGTGGAGAAAGTAAGTTATTCTCGATGTTTTTTCTTGAAAAATGAGAATCTCTAATTGCTTCTATTAAGCAGAATGGTTTTTAATTATGTCTCTTGTTTCTTATTCCTCCTTTTCCTGCTTCAGCAGGGGAGTTGGACTAGCTGTTTTTCAAGGTCCCTTCCAACCCCTAACATTCTGTGATACTGTGATTCTTGTATCTTTCAGCCGTTTTAAATAGGGATTTATAAAAAGATGCATCGCAATGCATTTTGTCCAGTAGGTGGCGTCATCTCACTTTTTACAACCAAAAGCAAACACAAGATAACTTATTATTTAGACTGTGTTTAGTGGAAAAGCATTCTTACCTTTAAGGATCTGTTTTTTTCAACTTTGAGGATTTTTTTTTTTAATTCCTGCTAAAAATAGGCAATTTAAATTTGTGTTGAACTTTGTATGATTTTGAGTTGCAGAATTCTTTATTCTTTAAAAACATTATATAAAATTAAATTACATATTACATATTAACTGTTACTTGATAAAAGTATCATAACATACTCAATGTATTTCATTCATGAAAGAAGCGTTTGCATCTTTATGTGGTAACAATTTAAACTAAGAAAAAATGTTGGTTTCTAAACTTCTTATATTTAATTTTTAAGTTCTTAATGCAATTTGAGTTACTTTTAGCAGAATGTGCACTTTAATCTTTTATGGTTGAAAATATATCCTGCATTTCCATATAAAAAAGTCTGTTAAGTGTTTCATTTTCTTGAAGATATCTGTTAGTGTAGAATGCTTCTGCTGTTTTTACTTGCTTTACTTCAACGTATTAAGGTGATCTGAAATGCAAAACAAGATCCATGTCTTACATTTAGGTAAATGTTGTATTTCTTTAAGTGAAAACTTGTATTAGGTATTATTCATCATAATGCTACAATATTTTATGTAGATCAACAAAATATGTATTTTGGCTATCTTTGATAAGAAGTGTACTTGATATATATGAAGTTATACAGGTGTCATTAGGCACAGCATTGACTGGTTGTCTACTTTTGCAGACCTGTAGACCAAAATTACAATGTTTAAATAATCATAGTGAAGGGGCAGACTGTTGCTTCCTGAGCCTGCACACTTCAGATTCTTCTGAACACCAGTATTCTGTAATCTCTTTTAAGCATTCCAGCTGTAAATTTAACTAAAAGAATTCTAGACTTTAGATCTGTTACCTGTGATCATAAAAGCAACATTTTCTTCAGGGTTTTGGCATCTTTACAACAAAAGATTTCTCTTGTTCTTCTTTCATTCCTTCGAGCACAGATTAGGCACAAATTTACTGCCGTGCCATTTCAGTCCTCTTTCACTTCACAGTTCTCATTGGCTTCAAAAGCCTTCACCAGGCTTTGGAATTCTGTGGAAAAATTATCTCATTGATATTTTCATGAAATAAGGTTTGTACACCAAACGTCTTGCACTGTAAGAGATTTCAGGTTTGGAAGAATTTTTGCTTCCTTTACTGACTTGAATTTTTATTTGCAAAGTGGTAAACCCTCAAAATTCAAACAAACTTTCAGAAGACAAACATAAACTGATAGCTACATTTTTAATCAGTTTCACAAATCTTTCTATTAGCACAATTGTTACTAGTACTACTTTCCATGTACTTTGCACTCTGAAGTACTTAAGATAAATATTACAAAGTGACAAATTGTTAAAGGAATTAATCTTTCAAATGTTTGAAATAAAGCTATGTATTGTTTGCTGTGCAGCTAGGTGCTACTGTGTAAATTTTATAGTGTTCCTGCTTTACTAAAGTACTACTTAAATAATTTCAGTTAAATCCATATTATCTTGCATGATACAAGAAAACCAAATGTATAGAATTATAACTTCTCTTTTCTTCTTCCTCAGAAATTTGTGGATTTTTGTCTCTAAGTTTACAGAATTTGATGCCAGAAAGCTGCACAAACTGTATAAACATGCAATCAAAAAACGCCAAGAGTCTCAGGTAATATTTTCAGACCCTTTCTAAATACATATGTTAAGTATTATAACTCTTTTATTAGATTTAAAGGATTATAAGGACACAGAAACACACTTCAAGTAGCATTTGCGTTTGTAGTAAACAAGTCTCTTTTGTTAGGATATTTTTCTAATGAATCCAGATGAACTTTGGGATTTAGCAATGAGTTTTTGTATTTGTGTCTTTTAGCAACACAATGACCAGAATACTAGCAGCAGTGTGAATACACATGTAACTAGAAATCCAGGTAAGAAACTTCAAGTATATTTTTGTATTAGATATCTTAGTTTTCATGGTTTTTTCATTTCACATGTCTCCTAGATCTGTTTCCCACACTGGTGAGTACCATAGAGACAGGCTGATAGCAAAACTTCAGTAGTTTGCTGATGAAATCCAGAAAAGTGTAGACTGAAGCTGATACTTACTGGTTTTAGTAGCAAGTTATATGGCCATCCTTGATAAATTTTTTTGAAACATTTTTTTGTTTGTTTAATTTTGGAAAGGGAGAGAAGTCTACTCAAAATCTTTAAATTTATTGGAAATTCTGTGCCTATTTGTAGCTGCTGTAAAGTCACTACCATGTAAAGAAAGCAAGCTATTCCTTGAAGTCACAGTTTATAATTCGTTACATAGGCTGCCTTTTATTGTTAAAAAACTCACTGATTTTTCTATGCTCCCACACCTCTTTCCTTGTAATATTTGCCTTTATCTCGTGTTATGTAAATCTTCAAGTATATTTGCGTGGACTTTTAAGTCATCACAATATATTTTAGGCATACCAGTGAAAGTCTTTTATTAACAAGGTGTACCTTTAAAACTCTTACTCATGCTAAGGCCATCGGTTTTTAGAGAGGAAGTTGCTACCATTCCGTCTAAAATTGTTCTACTAAAGGCACTTCTACTCACTGCTCATTTGGACCACACTTACCTTCATAGACTGAATGGAGAGGTTGAGAAGTTCAGTTTCTGAGTCCTACATATCTACATTCTATCTTGCTCCCCTCTTCTGAGGTTTCTTTCAGTTCACTCGTGTTAATGAATTTGTCTTTCGACTATTTAGATCTTGTTTCTGTCAAATTATAATGTCACTTTCATACTGCTTTACATTTGAATTAGATGAAGAAAAGACTTTTATGAGACTTCCTTTGAACCTCTGCTTTATTAAACAGATGTGGAAAGACTGAAGGAGAATACAAACCATGATGACAGTAGCAGGGACAGTTACTCTTCTGATAGACATTTGTCACAATACCACGATCATCCTAAAGACAGGCATCAGGGAGATGCTTACAAGAAAAGTGACTCTAGGAAAAGGCCCTATTCAGCCTTCAGCAATGGAAAAGATCACAGAGACTGGGATCACTACAAACAGGACAGTAGGTAAGTTTCTTGAGCAATTTTAAAATTTGTTCAGCATTCCCTTTCCGTTTTTGTAGTATGCTTGTAGCAAGCACTAAAACGTCTTTTTTGAGTAATGCAAAATTGCAATGATGATATCTCTCTAATGCAGTTCTGTTGATTTGACATAGTTGTGGCTCTTAATGTGTGTTCAGTAACACTACTAAAAATAACTTCTATTTTTTAGATACTACAGTGATAGTAAACACAGAAAGTTAGATGACTACAGGAGCAGAGACCACAGGTCAAACCCGGAAGGAAGTTTAAAAGACAGCCGAGCTCATTCAGATCACCGTTCCCATTCCGACCACAGGATACATTCAGATCACCGTTCCACTTCAGAGTACAGCCATCATAAATCTTCTAGAGATTATAGATACCTCTCAGACTGGCAAATGGACCACAGAGCTTCGGGTAGTGGCCCAAGGTCACCATTAGATCAGAGGTCTCCTTATGGTTCAAGATCTCCCCTAGGACACAGATCTCCATTTGAACACTCATCAGATCACAAAAGTACACCTGAACATACATGGAGTAGCCGGAAAACATAACAAAGACTGACATATTCTGGACCTTCTTTTAGCCATATACAGTAAACTAACACAGTAATTGCCTTACATGACTTGAAAGATATGGACTGGATGTTCTATCAGTAGTAGTATTGTTACTTCTTTCCAGGATGCAAGGTCTATTATCCCAACAGAAGAAAAATATTTTTGTATTTAAAGTTTATGCTGCACTGTGCTGCAAATGCTGTGGCACTCTTTTTTAAGAAATGGAAGATGTTTACTTTTACAGGGACCTCAACACTGCCCCTTTCAGACTGGATCTTACTATAAAACTCTTCATGTCAGAGTGATTTTAGGCTGAACGTGTTTTAAATTATGTTTGTAAATGAACTTTTAAACACTGATCTGTGCTTATATTTCAGGAAGGAATGAGGAGTTTATTTTCTTTTATTTCTTAGTAAAGAACTGTCAAGGACTTTGTTCACTTTCCAAAGCTACTTGTTTACATTGTACACTGCGACCACCTTGCCGCTTTTCATCACAAGCTTGAATATTTAAATTCTGTACCTATAACTGTAAAATAGCCAGGATTTCTCCTGTTTGTGATCAGTTATAATGCCTTTTTACAAAAACAAACAAACAAAAAAGTAAAAAAACAGAACACAAATGGCTGTAAATTATTGTAAATTAATTAAATGAGCTTTTTTCCCCTCTCAGGCCTTTTTTGACTGTTCCTTTCCCCACCAACTCAGGCCTTCTTGTCACAAGTATGAAATGAAATCAGTCTACTTACATGTTTTAATACAGTATCTTGATGGAATAGCTGTTCAGAATGTAAAAATGGGGAAAGGGAACATTTTATTCCATTTAGTGTTCCTTTTCTTTCATTTATTTTAAATACATGTTTTGGGGGTTTGGGGGGTTTTTTGTTTGTGAGGGTTTTTTTCTTTCCTCCATTAAACTGTCAGTGTTGTGATTGTAATGAAATGGTAAGAAATATGCAGCTAAACTGTGCTCTGGAAAGCTTTTCAGGTGCATTGGTTTTAAAGGAGTGTTAAATATCTGAACACTTCAGAATCCAAATCAGCAAAATTTACTGTAAATCCATTTGTGTTCCCTCTTCAACATGGGCAATAATGTCAAATGTGCTATGCAGCCAGTTAATATTTTAAAAGATCTGAATTACTTTATTGACAGAATTGTTACAATGCACACTGATTGTACATAGACAGCTTATATCTGACAAATTAAATTTAAACCAAAAGGATATGTGGGCTCTTGTAGTTTTCTGCTGTGTTTTTTCTCTGCAGCATTACTTTTTCTCAGGTTTACCCATAAAAACATTAAACTCTTAAGTAATAAATTTTAATATGCAATGTGATAATTAGGGAGGATATCTCGCATCATGTGGTCAGAGCTATATCTGTTGCTCCAATTTTTGTCTGCTCTTGCCATGTTGAGCATTTTTTTCCAATTACACATGTTTATATGAAAGCATTAATGCAGAACCAAAATCTGTCCAGAGTATCTGTTAGGATCTCACTGCAGGCACAGTTGCTGCACATTAAGCTTATTTAATGAAGTCTGGGACTCAGTTAATTAATGCCACTTCATTTCTTAACTCTTTATCTTCCCAGAATCTGGAGGGGTTTGTGTTGTTCTGCTTTTGAGCTTAATTGCTGAAGCCATGTTTAGGCAGTGGAGTGATGTCTGATAAGGTTGTGCATGTGTGCGATGCGTCTTCTGTTTCCAGTGGTGAAAATCTAGAAGTTCGAGCATCTCTAGCCACTGACTGATTCTTACTGCTTGGGTAGTGCACAGATCCATCAATACAGCAGTCCCAGTAAGCCTCATTCACCATCAGTATGGCTGAGCATGTCTTACATGACATGAATAGTCTGCATCTATTTTTGTTAAAGGTATCTCAGGTCTCTGAAACAAGCAAGACAAAATACTTGGTGGCTTTGATGATTAGGATCTTTGGCAATTAGTCTACTTAATGTGTTAATTTTTATTCAATCTCATTCACAGATTTACAAATCACATTTGCAACTGTTTAAAATTTTTCTCTGGTTTCAATTAAGTCTTAAGCATAAAGTTTGATGGTGGAGCCTCCATTGCTTATCAGTCTGTTATGCTGTATCTTCCTATTTAAGAGAATCCCGTATCCTCTGCAAATAAGCCACTTAGAATTCATTTTCCATGCACGTGAGATTTGATCCTTATGTTGTTCATTTATAATGAAAAGTGTGTCTAGTACCAAAGCATGCATCAGATACTAACTTTCCGTGTCTGTAAGAGGTTTTGGGAAGTAAGAAGTCTGGTGACTGCATGAGAACTCCTCATATGGCAGTTAATAAGGATTCAGGTGTTACATCTACCATGCATAGAAGTCTTTAAGATTTCTATCTTAATCCTGTTGTGTGTTTCCAGTCTACCATTCCCAGTAGTACCTAAAAAGAGCAGGTTGTTGGTCAGTCAGAAAAAGCATGTTAAAAAAATGTGTTGCTGCTATTAGTTTTAAGGGCAGAGAAATGCATGCTCTGACTGGTCGCCATTAGTTCATCAGCTGCCGTGTTGGCATTACCATTTACAAGTTCACAGTCACTCTGTGTATTCCCCATCTTGAGCAGATGTCCCGGTGTCTGAGTGGCACTCAAAGAGCTTCTGGTTTCTGAGAGCCTTTCACCACTATCAAGAACCGGATTTGCAAAGGACTCAAGCACCAACCACAAGTTTCTGCAGAAACATGATGGTTCTACAAAAGGAGCGTACCCTGACTGCCCTTTGAGACATGGACAGGACAGCAACCTAGAGCACCGAGTCCCTAGGCTCAATACTTTTGATGTCTGCCTTCCTTCTTTTTGGAGCTCAGTTGACTTGTTTTGTCCCTGTATGATGTTGTCATCAACAAATGCATCTTGTCACCTGCACAGCCCTTAAAACAGCAAGCTGCAGGGTTCCTAGTTAAAGTGTAAAATCCCAGTGAAATACTCTTGTAACTTTTTTTAAGGAGCTGTTTCAATCTCCAGTGTTATCCTTAGTGTTGTGTTCAGTGACAATAGCTTTTTTCAGTAGTAAATTAGCTCACGATTACTTACGAAGATGGGCAAGACTGAAGACACTAAAGGACATCATCCTGATACAGCTTTTCTTCCTGATGAGATATTTTATTGCAAGTTTCTCCATGATCAAGTTTTATTTGAACAGCAAATTAATCAGTTTATTTTTGTGTACTATGGCTGAATGAGGTACTTTCATTTTTACCTTTACAGAAATAAATGTAGACAATCTCTTGCTTTCGTTAATGACTAATAAAGACTATTAAATTAGGCAACAGCTGGTATGAATCATCGTAGATCAAGGTTTGTTCTACTGAACTATGTTGGGACTGTATGTAGTGGTGTCACTTGTATCTCTTCATTCTTCCAACAAGCTAGTGCAGTTGCACCTGAAGTTTAAGCTCTGTTCTTAAAACTTGATGCTGAAGCTTTTATTTGTAAAACACTCCAGAAGAAGTAGCTAAGAAGTATAATTGTGCAAGACACTGCTAGGAGCAGAAGAGGAGGTTCATGGCAGTTATTATTTGTTTCTTATCCTTTTCATTTTTCTCTGTAGTCCAATTATTAATATGAAAGTTGAGAACAACTGAGTAATGGAGAGCACATTCTGGTCCACCCATCCTTATACTTTCACACTGTATGGGGTCAGTGAAAGACCTTCCTTTGGCCAATACTAAAAGAATGTTTCTAGCATGTATTTTCCAACCCCCTAGCCCTACCAATCTATTGGTAACTATCTTTAATTGTTTTATTTTCAGAACTTTTAACAAGTGAAAAATTGCTTTGGGATAAATAATGACATTTAATGATTATTTTTAATTTGTGTAAAGAAGTAAGAATTGCCATTTTGCTGTTAAAAAGAAAATAACTATTTCTAGACCTAACATACATAGAAAATAATTATGCTTTTTAAATTTTTTGTAGCATGTTTATAAACCTTTTGTGGAAGCTGCTTACTTTGTTTTACACTCTAAAGCTCAGCATTAGGCTTTTGATTTATATTACGTCAATATAAATCTCTTAAAATATAGCAGCTGAATAAATTTTTAAAAGATCTTTGGTATTTGTTCATATTCTGTGATATATACTGTAGAAAAAAATTGAGGGGGGGGTGTTTTACAGAAAAGTGGCAAGTCCTGGTCAAGTGTGTAATTTTCAATTTACTCCAAAACTTCATTATTTACATAAATTGTCACAGAAAATTTACATGCATTTATTGTGGATTATCAAGACCATATTTCAAGTTTTTCTTCCATTGTATAATATGATTTATCTTCATGAATCTTAATTCACAGGAAGTAAACTGAGCAACAGTCCTCTGGGCTACCTAATTGCAATCTGGCTTTTATGAAGAAACTTTAAAGAGATTAATTAAAGTTCTAGGTTTAGTCAACACCTGAAATCTAACTGTAACTCCAAACCACTTAGTTCAAGCTTGATTCATCACAGTACTTCTTTTATTTTAGCTATAAGGAAAATTGTAGCCATGTAATGGTCTACAGTAATATGTGTGAATTGTATGTGAGGTAGCAGCTCTCTGAACTGCTTAATCTTTCTGTAACAAGTGACCCACAACCTTTGGCCACAACAAGTAACATGGCCTCATACGGAAGTTCCTGTGCACCTGGACCTCTCTTCCATTATGGAACCAACATAGAAGTCACCTCTTGCACATATCATGGACGTACCAATGGTCAGGCAGTAGCGGTCTATTTCACCTAGCCCTCCCCTAAAGTGCTTCCTTGGCAGCATATGTTATCTGTTACATGACTGAATATAAAGATACTGATCAATTTGCTTCCCACCACATGGCCACAAAGGACATTGCAGCACTTTGAGAAAAGGGCAGCAAGACACAGACTGCCAGAACAATTCATACATTACTCAGGTCAATCTTGGGCAACAATTGAAGAGCCTCTGGTAAAGAACTCTGCAAGGCATGGGCCAGATGTGGTTGGCAAACCACAGCATGGGACCATTCTTACCGAGAAAACCAATCCAGCAGTACCAGCTGGATTCTGGAACTGATTTGCAAATTTTTAATACAACATAGTGCCTTTTTGTGTGAAGGCTGAAATGAAAGCCAGTGAAAATACACTGACTAAAGCCTTATGAAATATTTTTCTTTTTAGGATTTCCTGCCAGTAATATTAATCCTAAACTTGAGCAAATTGGTGTAAGTAATTGTGAGAGCTGGGCATCGCCACAGTTGATCCCATATAGTTACAGGTAACATGTTTGCACCAACAAAAAGGAATTGCTGGAAGGATGACTGTCTTACAACTGTGTGTGGGGGGTGTGGCTACACTTTGTGGGGAAGAGGAGTCATGCGACCATGTATTTCTTGGATGCCAGCCAAGAGATCTAACAGGACAGATAATAAAGAAATAAATATTGAAGACCTAGTAGATAGCTGATGCAAGACTTTAAGAGGTTTTAAAGTACAAACTTTTGGTCCTGTTAGAAGGGAGATGGTACCCCAGGGTACTGCTCTCTCTCTGTCTCTGTCTCTCTCTGTCTCTCTCTCTCACCATTGCTCTGCTTCTGCTTCCCAACCCTATTCCAGCCTTCTACAAAGGCCCTTAACAGCACGCTCCAATCAATTTATTTTCTCCAGGGCCTCCAACTCTGTGCACTCATGCACATAGCCCGCAGCCTCTCTACGGCTGAATTTTTGAAGTGTGCTGTTTCTATTGCCAGCCAACACCCACCTTTACTCCTGGCTGGCTGTTGCAGTTAGTGAAGCTTGTGCATCCCTGTAAAATTGAAGCTTGAATTCTCATTGGTGACTATTTTGGAAACCCAAGCAGATGGCTCTTTCCCAAAATCAAGCAAGGGAGTTTTCAGAGAACAGAAAAGGAAGCTATCCCAGCAGAAAAGTTATTCATGTAACATACGTAGAACTTATGTGAAGCATGTTATGTTCTTGGGAAATGTGTAATGAAGAGGTCATATCTGACACGTTCATACAGCTGAGTTCATCCTCTAAGATGGGGGTCTTACTGTAATAACTGCTAGGCTAAAAACCATGTAGAGGAATGAAGGTGAGAAAGAGAAGGTGAGATATGCTACAAGTCTGTTCTTAGGCTGTTAACAAGGAGCTGGCAAAACTGCTAGAACAGGTAAAAACCAGTGCGCTCCAGAGCACAAAGGTTCAATACAGATGCTGCTTAACATTGCAAGAGCCTTGGTTTTGACAGTTCTGCAAACC